AGCCCCCCTTCTCCTTTGCACGGGGACCACATCAATTAGACCACGCACATACACTCTCTTCTCCTCCCAGGTCACATGTTGCCAAAAGTCATTGAAAATCGTATTCCTCTCAGGCTCGCCGATTGCACTGCAGTGATGTTTACCTGACCTGGCACATGCTGCTGATGAACATCTAGGCCCCATAGCCCGTGGCTCCCTCATTGTTTCCTTCTGCTTCTGTTTTCCAATGTATGACTTTCCAACCATTCTTCTTTTCTTGTTGATGACTTTCTTCCAGGTGTTCTCAGCTCTCAGTCTTTTCCTTGGAGGTGCGTCTTCCTCAGCATCTGAGCATGAATGCTCTGCATCCGAGTCCTCATCGCCTCCACCATGGAAAACTTCAAAATACACACACAAACCAAACGTGCATGAATGAGTTACATCTTTATAAACTGTCAACAGTGAGGGCTATAGTTGAAGGACCTTATCCAATTTAATGAGAAAATGTAGAAAAGCATCAAACTTACCCGTGTCAAACTGCACCTGCTCTGGAGCCAGCAGTGAGGCCTCCTCTTCCTCCAGACCACCAGAGAAATCTTTTCAAACACATCATACAAATAGTGTGATTTTTTTATTATTTCTATTGTTGTGAAATACATCTGCATTAAAACTCATTCATTTTGGCATGTGAAATCATGATTATCTCTCAGAAATTCACTCTACCAGCATGCACCACTGTATCCTCCACCACTGTATCCTCCACCACTGTTGCTTCCTCTCTCTCTAACGTTACACTCTCTCCATCAGAGCTCTCACTGTCTAATAGGGCCCTTGCCTGATCATATGGCACATTGACCATCTGACAGAGTTCCTTTAAGGACACAGACATGGTTGCTGCAAAAAATAAAATAAATAAAGGTCAAATGATCGTTTCACTAAGTTATACGACATGTTTACGTATGATAACAAGGCAAGAAGCCAGCTAGCTTGCTTAAAGTGATGAACATGACGTAAAAGGTAGCTACTTGTTGAACATGACGGAATGCCTTGACATTGTAAGCTACAATACTGACATAGTACATTAAATTATTATGTTGTTCCTCAGATAAGTGCCAGAACTAGCGTTAGCGGGGGTCGAGAGGTTTTTATTTAAGCCCCACGAAAATCACGTTAGCTACCTATCTCACCTAACATGATGACAAAACCAATAACGTTACATAGCGGCTAACTAAGTCAACGACAGGCAATTTTTGCGGTTTAAATAAAATGTCCTCGTCAGAAACAAAACCATGGAAGATTTCAATCAACATGATAAGTTAACTTAGCTAACTTACCGTCCAATGCAAGACATAGCAGAAAGAAAAATCTAGCATCCTCAGAAATGATACATTACACTAAACTAGCACTACCATTACTTCGATCGAGATAAAACTGTTATATATAATATATAAACTGTTATTATTATATAATTTATATAACTAAATCATGAATAAGGACATTTACCTCAGAGGACGTGTTGCTCAACGAGGATTGCGACTTCCAATCTTGAGGAGAAAAAATGCCGCGAAGCTCCAGCGCGGCGGCGCCAAGTGAAGAAGGGGTGGAGTTACGAGGTTTCTCAGACAGTTGAAGTGTCCAATGGAGTTAAGAGGTTTGCTCACAAGCTATTTTCAACACTTTCGATTGGTTAATAATTTGTAAAAATAACAGACCCACGTGGAGACTGACCAATAGCATCGATTTGTGAAAAAATATTAAATTGACCAAATTTGGACATACGAGGTTTCCGCCCGACAGCGACGATATCCTTTCAATGAGCTTATTGTTTCTGCCTCAAATTATTACATTGTTTAATTTAATACATTGTTAGCTAACTGTGATTTTGAGCATGTTCATTTCTGAAATACATAACTTAGAAAGTTACCTCTGAAAACATTACAGCTAAAAAGATAAAGCTGCTTTGAAATGATGTGTATTGTGAAAAGCGCTATACAAATAAATGTGAGTTGAATAAGCAGAGTGAGAAACTCCCTCCTTGGCCTAGCAGAATCTATTGCTCATCCATACATTTGACATCAATCCTCTTCGATGGGCAGAATGACTTCATGGACATTGTGAGTCTTGCGCTTTCTCAGATATGTTTTCTACTAATAATAACATAGCTCTGCTGTCCTCAAGTCTCCCTGCCAAGCTGGCTCTATGATCCCTGTAATGTCTCCTATACAGTTAGCCAAGGCACTCACCGACGTCTCTCTCGCGCACTGTCACTCGCTCGCAGCGTTCACTTCGCTTTTGTCCCCTAATGTAGATGGAGAATCCCCTTAAGATGAAGAATAAAAAGTGTTTGCTTCACTGTAAGAGGAGTGTGTGTGTGTGTGTGTGTGTGTGTGTGTGTGTGTGTGTGTGTGTGTGTGTGTGTGTACCATGTATATGGAATAAAGACTTCTACGTTTTGCCTAGAAAGTCAACACCTGTCTGAAATGTACAGTTGTTTTGCTGATGATTCTGAACTCTTTTAGGATCAGGGACTATGATGGTAGTTGAACAAACAAGGTCTATTGATTCATACCTGACACTTGCTTTATTATAGACAGCAACGTGTGAATAGGGCTTTTGGGAACATGGGAACAAAAACAATAAAAGCTTGGGACACAGAAGCACAAGAAGCTGGTATTGCAGACGGTGACGTTAGTCCAACTGTTATATTATTTATTATACCACTGTGGATATTTACAATGCCAATAATTGACTTACAAATTCAAATGAAAATTAAGAATGAGAGAGATACCCGAAAGATTATCATTGATCTAAACACTGCTGTGCTATTCGTCATGGTTGCTTATATATACTGATGGTTCTAAGGATCCTATCTCTGGAAGAACAGCAGCTGCTGTATATCTTCTGAAGTTTAAACAAGCATTAAGAACAGAATATCTGACCATGAATCTGTGTTTGCAGCAGAATTAGTGGCCATGATGGGAGGATGTAAAACCAAGATTAGTAGTAATATGTTCTCATTCTCATTCAGCAATCAAAAGCCTCGAAAGTGGAAATAAATCAGCAAGGTAAGATATTATATATGATATTCTCACAAGTTTAAGAATAAGTAAAGTAAGCTTGACAGTGTTCTTGTGGGAGTGGAGGCTAATGAAGTGGTTGATAAACTAGCTAAGCAAGCTGTAAAACAGATAAATATTCAAGTGACTCTGAGCGAAAGAGAGGTTAAAGGAAAAATTAAAGAATTAATAAACAACAAATGGCAAGAAGTATGGAAAAGTGATAACAAGGGAAGACATATGTATAGTATACAGAAACAAGTAGGAAATGGAAGAAGAGTTTTTAGGAATAGAAAAGAAGATACAATTATTTCTCGCATTCGAATAGGGCACACTAGACTACATCATTCTTTGTTCAAAATAGGAAAACATAAAACGGGTAAATATAATTAATGTGATCAGGCAGAAACAATTGAACATGTTTTAATAAAATGTATAAAATATGAAGGAAGTAAGAAACTTGGGTGTTGAATCATTTAAAGAAGCATTTTGAAATTACATGCAGAACAAGATAAAATATATAGCGCTAATATGAAATATTTTAAAGCAATAGGGAATAGACTCGATAATTTAAAGTAATTGGGTTAAAATTATTATATATTTTTTTCTTTCATACTTTTGTTTAAATTGTTAATTTCTACGTGGTTATTAGTGGTTCACACTCCAGTCCAGTTGGTGGCGGTAATACACCGAAAGTTGGTTTGCCAACCGCCATAAAATTCCATTAGAAGAAGAAGAAGAACAGGACTTTTATTTTGGCGTGGCGATGTGACGTCATAGAGTCGCGCGCTCCTGCGTCTGGTTGTGATTCTGCTGGAGAAAGGTTTGTGTTTTTAAGAATTTAAATCATTGAAACTGATCAGTTTATTTTATAGTTTTTTACAAGCGATGTTAAATGAATTGTTCTTATTGATATACCGTTGTAATGATTCATTAACATTAATAAATGTTATTTTTAATTTCAGAAAAGTGCATCAACACATTAGTAAAAGAAGTGCGTCTCATTTCGCTCCCTGTATCAAAACAAATAAGGCAACCCAAAGTAATGTTGTATTCAGTAAGCAAAACATAGAAAAGTGGTTAAAAAAAATACCTAAAATTGTACATTTTATGCATATACAATTTTGTTTAAAAAAGATGATTAAGTAAGCATATTTTGTTTTTGTGTAATTGCTCTTTTTCCAATCGACAATTCCAAACAAAACATTTTCCTTAAGTAGAGAAAAATCCTTATCAATGTTTTCAAAAACAAAAATCTTTCCACCATAATTTAGAGTAATGGCAATGCCAAAATAAATGCACTATAGTCTCTGGGTGCTGTTTACAAAAATTAATATCTTTTTTGAATTTCCTTGAGAAGGTATTAACAGGAATATACACGATGGACAATTGGGATGAAAACTTCTATTATCTTATTGATAATTAAGTATCTATTCAGAATCAGCTAAAACTTTTCTCCAGACAATATCAGGAAGAAAAGCTTTCCAGTAAACTGTGACATTTGGAATTGATGCACATTCATTAAGAAATAATAGACGTTTAGATCTATTAGAAGAAGTGGATGAAAATTAATATTTATTCGAATCACCACATGCTGATGTCACTTGCTGGTCAAAACAGTGTAAATACAACGAGAACACAAGCGTGTATTAACAACTTTTACAAACAAATCACAAATCTTTTTGTTTAATCGCTTGAATGTGGCAAGTCATTTAATACCAAATATATATCACAAATACCTAAATATGAATGTCCAATATTTAATTATTTTATTAATTTGTAGTGCCAGTTTTGAGTGTTTTAGTCTAATCAGGAGATTTATGCCCATTAACTCTCTCTCTCTCTCTCTCTCTCTCTCTCTCTCTCTCTCTCTCTCTCTCTCTCTCTCTCTCTCTCTCTCTGATTGAGACAGAGATTTAGTGTGGATTTATTTTTCTTTCTGTTCATTATTCTCATCTTCAACAGGACAAACACACAGAAAAACTCCTGGTGAAGCGACTGAGATCCACGTCACACTATTATAAAGATGGCGTTTATGAAAGAGGAGAATGAAGACATGAAGATTGAAGAAACATTCAGAGTGACACATGAAGATACTGAGACACAAACAAATATGGTGTTTATGAAAGAGGAGAGTGAAGACATGAAGATTGAAGAAGCTTTCGGAGTGAAACAAGAAGATACAGAGGAACAAACAGGTTGGTTCTGTCAGGACCACTATCGTCGAATACGATTGACAATTAGCATACAGTTTGGATTGGCGGTATGGTTCTGTTCTGGGCAAGAACTCCCTGTCAGTCAAGCATAGATAAGAGCAGGGAGAGGAGCGATAAACAGAACAGAACAAACATAAATGTATTGCAGATATTATTAATGTCCGTATTTTAATGTAGAACATAATTCGAGAAATTAGTCTGATTGAAAGGGGAATCAGCAGATCTGACGGGCGAGAGGAGGAGGGTAATTCGCCATAGCTGTTGATAACACTGGAGGAGCTGTGAAAGGGTCAGCTGATGCCATCTTGACTAACATGACCCGCCAGAACTAACTTGATTTTCATTCTGATCCTTAAGCCCTATTCGCACGGGATTAGTATTATCTGGTGACCTCTAGTCATTTGTAATAATTGCGGAGGTCGTCTGTGATCTTAATCCCGTGCGAATCGGCCATGTCTGTAATTTGTAAAGTAAAAATTCCCCCACAAATGACCTACTATATTTCGCCGAACACCGAAGTCCTGTGATAATATTAGTCCCGTGCGAATCGGCATTTGGGATTTGGCGGGGTTTTTTCAATGTTTTTGTTTCCTGTGCGCTTTTTTTATCCATCTTTCACGAATAATGGAGTGTTTTGATAGTATTTTGGGTGCTAGGTCATATCGCTATAGGCTACGCCATACAACTATACAATTTACAGAAAGAGAAAGCTGTAAATCAGAAGAGCAAAAACAAAAAGAATGGTTAGATGGAGATGAATGACATGTTTAGCAGCATGCAGTAAAGACCATATTCTGTTTATGATATATCATTAGGGCTGTAACGATACACCAAACCCACGATTCGGTTCGTATAGCACGGGGGCGGGGCTTGGGGGGTGAAAAAAATAGAGATTTTGAGAGGAAAAAAATATGTCTTTATTAAATAACATTTGAAAAACCTCTATAAACTGAACACAAAAGAACAATTTTAACTATGCAAATTATTAAACTAAACTAGGCAGTGTAGGCTGCTGCTTTTGGGTTGTTTTCTGTGCTCCAACTAAATTTGCATGTTGGACGTTTTGCCGGTCATTTGAGAAAGCTTCTTAAAACACTTCAGGCAAATTGTGTGGGTCTTGTCGACTACACGATTTAATTATAGAATATCAAATAGGTTGTGCGATTATTGACTAAAAAATCTCCATGTTTTTGGTGCTGATGAGTTCATGTATTGTAACATGTAGGGTGCTGCTAATAAAAGCACATAAAACCTGTTACAAAGAACCGGCAAAAGTAATGATTATATGTCAAATATAGCAAGGAGACATTTTAATCGTTTATTAATAAACAAGTGTTTTCTGTCAGTGACGGCTGCAAAGATGAAGTTGGCGATGCTGACTCGCGATCTTCAGTAGTGAACGCACCAGAGAGAAATGCACATTTCATACGGATTACAAAAGCAGAGAGCTTTCTTTCGTTTTGAATTGTTCTGTTTAAAAGTAGACATTTCAATATAGATATATTTCTCAGGTCTGTGAGGCAAGTAGGCCTAGGCTATACCTAATAGTTTCGGTTCATTTATGAGACGAGCTCCAGTTCACGCGCCGGCGCCTCCGTGTTGTGGTTATCTAATGGCTGCTATATTTACTTCTTATTTATTAAATCCAGGCAATTGGTTGATGACACATTGATTAAAATTAGGAAACAATTAATAGAGCTGGGTAAAAAATATCGATTTCTCGATATTAATCGATTCTCATTTTTACGAACCGATATCGATTCTTAAATCTCTAGAATCGATTAGTCATCCTGTTTTCATCTGATGAAGGAATGGAAGATTGCAGCGCGCATCCCATCCAATAAATCGCAATAATCTTTGTGTTTTGTTACTATTGATACCAAATAAAGTCTAAAATTTCAAATTACATCTATTTTCTTAAGAAATTCAAAAACATAAATCCCGTTTTGGCGCTGTGGCGTGAGATCGCTCTGGCTCAGCTCAAGAGAAGCAGCAGCGCGGAGCGCACATGATCTTCTCTTCGGCCTTAATAATACCAGTTACAGCGTGAAATAAACATGAATGAGCATCTGAAAGTGTGTTAAAAGATAGAGTACAACTTATCGAAATCCGTATCATGTCACATGGAATCGCTCAATCAGTGTTTCAGACGATAGTAAAACAGCTTGTAAACAATGTCATGTAACATCACATTTACCTCAGAAAAACCATATGCGACCATAAACTCGTTAGTCAGCTAGAAAAATTAACTCTAAAGAGGAGCATTTTGCTAAATAAATGAACCATATTACATATTCATTATAATTTTTAATGTTCTTCAATATTTAATGCATGTTTGAATAAATCTGGCAAGTTTTTTTATGACAGACACCATTTAAATGTTTATATTAAATGTTAACTTTCTTATTATAAAAAGAAATAAGTGTAATTTAAGTGTTTGTATACAAATCAGTAAATTTTTACCTTTAATATTATAGTAGGCTAATGAAGCCTAAGTGGGCTACAACTGACTCCCATAGTTTACAGCATTAGTTCAGCAATTGTTTTCCTTGAGAAAATTTGCCATGGATTGTACCTGATATCCAAAATAATCCATATTGAATCGAATTGAATTGCAAGCTTGTGAATCGAAATCGAATCGAATTGTGAAATTTGTGTCAATTCCCAGCCCTAACAATTAATAAATTCACTTTAAAGAAAGGCTTTTAGCTTTCTGTTTGAGGTCTCTGTGAAATTTTTAGTGTCGCTTCCAGAGAACTGTCACGTCCGTAACATTGTTTTTTCCTCATAAATGCGAACATGAAAACCCCCCCGAATATTTTATGTTCTGGGGAGAGCCAACCCTTCATCCGGTGGGTAGGCTAGTATTACTTTTGGTTTGTGCAGTGTAATTCGCAGAATTACTAAAACAATATTTTGCCACCTAAAAGTTAAAGATGTTTGTGTCACGTCCGTAACGCATCATATTAAATATAAAATGCATGTGTAGATTTTTCTAATGTCTGGACTCCTTTATTAAGGGAGTATGGATATATATACAGAAGTTTCAATACATTGGTATTAAATGCTAGTCTGGTTAAAACCAGACCATTCTCAGTTGTATCTGAGTTATGGTCTGGCAAAGCGTCATAGACAAATCATTTCCAGAGGGGCGTCACCAACGGACATCACGGATAGACCTAAACCCAATCAGAGCGATGAAGGAGATGACGTATGCAGAGCGGCGGAGAAACATCTCCGAGTGTTGTTCTTTGCTCGGTTTTTAACAAAAAGGAAACGTTCATATCACTTAAAACAGACGCGATAGCTGATTCGAACGAGTGATGTTCGACGGCGGCATCCATCTTTGTAATGTAGACTACAAAATCTGCTTCAAAATCCCAGCGCTGTCGTCATCGTGTAAAGCCCGCCCCAGCGTTTCTGATTGGTGCCTCGATTTCGACGGATTGGAAATGGGCTTGAATGAGCTCTTTGCCAGACTAACTAAATCTAAATTTGCCGGAAGTTGTCTGGGTTTTACATGAACGCATTGACGTTGCTCGTGGGGAATATTCCCTTCGAAAACAAAACTCAGCCACTGTCTTCAGCGGTTCGGATTTAAGAACATCAAAATGACTGCTGTGTTCGTTATTACACCCAAGAACAGAACACCACAATCGCTTAGACGCCATTCTGCTCCAGCGTATCAACAATAGCGGACTATGATGACAGCTCGCTCAGGTCAGGGCGGGTCTGTGTTGAAATGCTGCTGTCAATCAACAATCGTGGGAGGGGCGTCCAACCGTGTGACGTCACACGGTCGAACGGCTCGATTTGAGGCAGGGAAAAACATATAAGAAGATTAAAACAAAAACACTGGATGGATTTTTATCATTATATGATGGTTGTGTACAGGCACTGCCAACCCACATTTCAGTACAATCAACTTGAAAAAGTGCATGTACCATTATATGACCCCTTTAAGTTACCAATCACAGGTTGTGTTACTCTGCACCGCTGAGCGTTTTGTTGAGGTGAAGTTGTAACAAATGAGGAAAGAAAAAAACTAAAATCTGCAAAAGCATCAACAGTGAACCTTGTTCCTGTCCGTACAATATATATTATCATCCACTGTCAATCACCATTTACACTAAATGTAATAAAATCAGAATCATTCTCGCGATTTGGTGATTCCCTGGTTATTTTGTTGTCCAGTCTGGAAAGTCAGATTATCTTTCACTCGCCCATTATAAAAACCCAAGCGTTAATGTCAGCCTTGCTCATATTTTAGTATTTGCTGCCTACCGAGCATCATAGATTTATGAAACTACGCATGTTTACTCAGAATGACTTGTTCTCCATTTGTGAAATGTTTTGAGAAGTTTGACTTGGGGATGTCAATTTACACAAATTCACATGATCGATCATCGTTTAAATGAACAATCAATTAATTGATTAAATTGATTAGTTAGCTTTAATACTGCAATATGTGTCTATAGAAACGCCAGGTTCCTCACCAAATGAATGAGAAGGGGTTTTAATCTAAATAAAGGAGTAGTAGGATTGTAAAATGAGTCGATGGGATTGATAATTTTTTTTAATTACTTAATTATTAAATAATAAAATTTAACGCTAATACAACCAGAGCTGCCAACTTTTGAGTTTAGCTTGGCGTGAGACTTCTCCAACAGGGTGGGTGGGTGGGGGGGGGGGGATGGAGATGGCATTGTCCAACGGGGGGCGTCTCTGCACACGCAAGGTTGCGCGCGCTACGCGGTTTGAAGCACAATCTCTGTCTCGCATGCGCGCTCGCTCGCTCTAGATTACGGGAGATTTTAACTATTTTGCGGTATAATTAGTCGATCACGAGTGGCTCAACAGGTAGATCTATAGATAAACTCATCTTTCAGGCATTTGACCGACCGGGTTGACACTTCAGCATGAGAAATCGGGAGTGTGGCGTGTGAGCGTGTGAAACCAATCAAATGCGTGTGTCTCACGGCCAATGCGTGAGAGTTGGCAGCCCTGTACAACGCGTCACCAACACCGCCTCAGATACACCCTTCCTGGAACAACGCGCTGAAACACGGTGACTAATCCAGAGAATTCACAACGATTTATTACAATAGTGTTCTCATGAATGTTATGTAATATGACAGTCCCAATCATAGTTATTACTAGTCATGTATTGCTGTTTGAGCATATTCCTTTTCGCACAATGTATAATTATTAGGTAGGCCTTTTATGGGCTGCTTACTCGACACCGCTTTCAACTAAAAACGTAAAACTTTTTATGCGTTTTGGTTCATTTACACGACACAACAGTGTTTTGGGGGCCTGAAAACGCAAACTTTTTAAAAAACGGTCTCCACGAGAAAAAAAAGAGCAAATCTCTTAAGACGATGATGTCATGCACGGGCGTATTACGTGTTCAATCTATAGTGTTTCATCGCCATCTACTGGCCTGGCAGCAGAATACAGCGTTTTTAGTCGTTTTTGCGGATCCATGTGAATGGTGATCGTATTGACAATGACGTGGAAAACTCAAAGGATAAACGTATCCGTTTTAAGCACATCGTTGTCGTGTAAACTTACCCTTAGCATGATAGCTTGACAGCCCTGTTTTTATGTAAATATTTGAAGTATCACTTTAGAAACGAGTGATGACCAAATTTCAGGGAGAAACATCCCTTAATTGCGCTCGCTTGAGGTGTTTTTTGACTTGTTTTAGACTAATCCTAAAGTTATATAGAATAACGGGAGATGGAAACGCATGTGTCAAATAAATTTTGACGTAGCGAACATTAAACCCACGTGACTAATTGGCTGTTTCCGCTGATTATAACGTTTATGCTTATATCAATGAGATTGGTAGAGAGGATCATCTGTCCATGTTGTAACTGGATTGTAATTGGTAGGAATTAACCTGTTAATTGTAGAAGGGTTAGGTATATCGGTTACCATATCAGTATCGGCCGATATATGTTCATTTTAATGTTAACGATATTGCCCTGATAAAAAAATTAGGCCGATATATTAAAGCTGATAAATAATGGATAATTTCCTGTTTGCCATGATGGATTTGAATTGCTTAAAATGTGATTGAAATCACTTTGAAAAGGAAAATGCATTAAGTGCAATATGCAGTGCAAATCTGTCATCAAGGATAAATAAATTTATGAGAACACGACTGTAAAAGAACGTTGTGAATTCTTTGGACACCCGTGTTTTAGCACTTTGTTACATTTTCATAACTAGCACAGTTCGCTTGTGCATTCACAGCCTTTTGTTTTATGCAATTGTAATTTGTAATATGTTTATTTTGTGTATATAAATCTGATTTCTCATATAGGATGCGTTTGGCTAAGTTAATTAACACGGTAGTAAAACGTGTCAAAATGTCTCAAACAGCAATGCACAACATTAATAACTGGGGCTATTACGTAACATTATAATGAGAACAATTGTTATAAAATGTTGTGAATTCATCGGGTTTAGTTGCAGTACAGCATGTTGATCCACAACAGGATTTACACAGTCAGCGTATGTTTACACCTGGTATTAAGATGTTTTGGTTGATCAGATCACAAGTAGACGAGCTGGTCTTTTGTGATTGTTGGAATGCATTTTAGCACATGAGTGTTTTCACTACAAAAGCAATCCGTTCTAATGCATTTTAGACTACCTTTGGAAGTGGTCGAAAGTGGACAAGCTCAAAACATTTTAGACCCCGTTTATACCTGTATTTAGTGTTGTCCACTTGTGATCCGAACTACAACAAACAAGTTTTTTGGACTACAACGCGTTTTTTTATGAAGCTTTATGAAGTCATAATGTTACTCATTTATACAATTCCCACCCACAGAAAATGTAAAAAAAAGGTGGGGGCCTGGTTGAGCTGCACTAGAGAAGACAGTGTTGTTGCTATGTTGAAGAGATGCTGTTTTTTCCACCCCGTTTCCAAAACTCATTTGTTTGACCTTCCGCAGGCTGACGAACTTGGAGTGGTGAACATTTATTTTAAACTGTTTCTGAACATAATAACCCCAATGTTTATCTGTGCGCTGCACATTTTATGGAGAACAGCTTTTTTTCTGTAGCTTTTGTAAGCTCTCACTTTTGTAAGACGGTTCAACGCTCCTTAGGAAAGTTAACCATGGTTTTGTGATTGAAAACTAAGGTAATACAAACTGTAATCGGACAAATATCAAAATTAAATGGTGGATCTCATCGTATCTATAATTTATAAAGAAATTAGGTGCTTGCAAAGTCGGTGCATGAAATCCGTTCTGCACAATCCTCTTGTTTGTTAACAGTGTCAGGGTCTGAATCGGGCTCGAATTATTTTGAAATTGACCTCATCCTTAATATTTACATCTTAGTAGAGCTCGCGGTTACGGAGGGACAGGACATTTCTGACACTAAACGCTGCCAATCACAACACACTGGGCCAGCTAACCAATCAAAGCACATTTCATATTTTGGAAGGAGGGGCTTAGTTGAAAACAATGCATTCGAGACAGACTGGGGAGAGATGAGATGTAATAATATAAAATATGTGAAAATTAGGGCTGCCAGTTAAACGCGTTAGTAACGGCGTTAACGCAAACCCATTTAACGGCGTCAATTTTTTTATCGGGCGATTAACAGTCTTTTTGGCTTAGCAAACTTTATAGGTTTTTTTCACATGCTTTTGCAACAGGACGCGGCATGCGCAGCGCTATGAAACCCATTCATTTCAATGGCTTTCGCCGTGCGAGGACGTTTTATTGCTTCGTCGACCAGAGCGCAAGCGGATCTAGCTAGACCGGAAACAAAACAACAGGCACTACGCACACACTTGTTTGGGCCTGTGAGCTGGCCAAATAGTTGGTTAACGTTACGTTTTGAGTGGATGACGAGCGCGAGACGCCGAAATGGATGCCAATGAGATTCTGAATGGAAAGTTTACTTTTAAAAAGTTGCCAAATGGTTCCATTGACAAGGCCAAAGTGATCTGTGTTTTGTCGTTGTGAACTGAGCTATCATCATCGCAGCACGTCCAGTCTGAAACACCACTTGATGATGGCCAAGCACACACACACACAGCTGATGCGAATTCTCCGCCCCCTCGTCAATATCAGGACCTCGTCAGTATTTATTTCACCCTTTTATTGATGGACAGTGTTACATTGTGTGAGAGATTGTTTGCTCCAAGTGAGAATGTTAGTGTGAAATTGAACAGTAATAATAATAATAATAACTTTATTTTATATAGTGCCTTTAAAAGTAGCATTCTCAAAGCACTTTACACAAAAATAATGAAATTAGAAAGATACACAACAGTCTAGGCAGTAAAAACAAACGAGCAATAAAAATAGAAGTCCGATATAATAACAAACACAGCAATCACACGAATCACATAAAAGCCACCCTAAAAAAGTAAGTTTTAAGGGACGATTTAAAAACTCTAAGGGATACTGCATTCCTAATCTCAGAGGGCAGGGAATTACACAATTTAGGAGCCAAAGAAGAAAAAGCCCCATCACCCATAGTTTTTAGCTGTGTTGTTTGGACAGTTAAAAGAGTTATATGCCAATGTTGTTTAAAAAAAAAAAAAAAAACATTTGCACAAAGCAAGCCGATCCACTTTTCCATGCTGATATGAGCATTAAAATGAAAAAAAATAATGGGACAAAAAAAAAAATCTAGATACTTTTAGAATAGATAAAAATGTGTGATTAATTGCGATTAATCACGAGTTAACTATGACATTAATGCGATTGATCGCGATTAAGTGTTCTAATCGTTTGACAGCACTAGTGAAAATGTTTTGAACGATCTAGTACAGCCCAAAAATAAAATCAAGGCTTCGTAAAAGGGCATAATAGGACCCCTTTAATACCAGGTGTAAACGGTCATAGTTCAAGAAGCTCTCCAGCTTCAGCGCATGATGATCAGTGCTGTTATTTGAAACTAGCTAATATTAATTTTAAATGTTTCTTTTTCAATAACTAGCACTTTAATTAAACCATATTGTTGATGCAAATAATGCAAGAGAAATTAAATCATTTCATTATTGTCTGTTTCATTATAAATAAATTGATTGATTTATTAATAGTTTTAGAGCACTTTCAAACACAAAGTGCTGTACACTAAAACAATAAATGAATACATAAAAAAACCCTCTAAAATACAAAACTCACACGACCCATAAAAAACAACCATACAATGAACGAATAAAATCAATATAACCAAACCTGAATTGTCAATTTCAGTTATCAAAGGCCAAAGAATAGAGGTGGGTTTTAAGAGACTTAAAAACAGACAATGAAGAAGCCTGTCTAATGTGCAGAGGTAGATCGTTCCATCGTTGATATATAGGCAGCCAATGTAGTGAGGATAAAATTGGGGAAATGTGCTTGTATTTACGTGTTCCAGTTAAAAGACGTGCAGCAGCGTTTTGCACCATCTGGAGACGAACAATAGAGGACCCACTGACCCCCACGTACAGTGCATTACAGTAATCCAACCGAGTGGTAACAAAGGCGTGGTTTACTGTCTCAAAGTGCTGACTAGAAAGAAATGGCTTTATTTTGGCCAATTGCCTCAATTGGAAAAAAACAACTAATTTTAAAGGGGTCATGAACTGGCTTTTTAAATTGTTTTATATTGTTGTCTGAGGTCAACTTATGACGTTCGCTTGGTTTTTACATTCAAAAACATCAAAATGAATAAGTAATAGGCTATTTTCTACCCTAGTTTTGAGCCTAGCTCAAAAACACTCGGTTTTTATGGGCGTCTCTCGCATTGAAGACTTGGAAGTATACGCCCACTGCTGTGAGTGGATAACAGTTTTGCATATTATAATGAGTTTCGTGTAATGCGCGAATCGGTGGGCGGGGCTAAACCGGCCGTGTTGAAGTAGGCGGTCGATCTTCTTCTGCGGGGGTGGTGTTTTATCCTCTTTGACGTCATAGTTCCCCACTTTGAAAAACGAGTCGTTTGCTGAACCTGGTGTCAATAAAAGCTTTTATTGGACTAAAAAGGATGTTTTCAGTTCTGAAACTTACAGGATATTCTTATAATATGATGACCTCTTAGATGTCAAAAGCTCAAGGAAAATTTGATTTCTCAGTTCATCACCCCTTTAAAGGTGCAGTGTGTGATTTTTAGCGACATCTAGCCTAACACCTAACATCGGTTGCGAGTTGCACTAAGGGCTCAGCCCACTGCTCACCCCTCCCTTTTGAAGAAGCTACGTTGGCTAAGACGGGACAAAGATATGGTCGTCTGAGACAGCAGAGAATAGCCAGAGTAAGCCAAGAGTGTGTAACATTGTCACTGTTTCTGTACCACAGTCCTCCCCATATAGCAAACCCATAAAACAGCGAGGGAGAAGAACCACATGAAACTATGCAACTATATAATTTTTCTAACAGGGTAGTAAAAGTTTAGCTGTAAAATGAGCTGTTACTGTGGCTGAGCTGGTTAAAGCGTAAAGCGTTGTTTAAACTCGACGCGTCCGCATGAGCCCAAAGGTGCGCGCGGCAAAAATGACATGATTGTAACAGCGCGCGCGCCTCCGCATCCCTAGACACCATTTACTACACACAATAGGCTTTTTTTTTTCTCTGATTTTGAAAACTCTCCGCGATCGACTTAAAATGCTTCCAAGATCGACTTGTCGACCGCGATCGAAGTGTTAGTGATCCCTGTAACATACTGTTTTACGGTCAATGACAAGAGTACTAATCAGCTGTCTCACGAACGTAACCAGCACATTTATCCCCACATAGCAAAGCCATAACACAGCGAGGGAGAAGAACTAAGTTAAAGTTACATGAAACAGTCCAACTACACATTTTACACCACTGACAAGGGAAAAGTCACTACTCACGGTGTTTATGGCTAGCTTCTAGGTTTCTGCGGCTTCTCTTTCAAGGTAGTGACGAAACGCGCTCTGTAGCGTTGTTTGTTCGCGTTCGGCTACGGTAGAAACATGACGTCACAATATGTCGACCTTCATAGAAGGGGATTCCCGCGGTTATGTAGATATAAATGTCTCATTCTAAGGTAATAAAAACATTACGGTTTATTAAGTAAGTTCTTTATACACCACTGAACACATAGTTATGGATGTCATATTGCATTTCTGTTAATAGATACTCAAAAATTTTACACATTGCACCTTTAACCACTGACTTTATCTGTCTGTCAAGCTTACGGTCAGGGTCAATTTTAACCCCTAGGTTAGTGATTGTTGGCTAAATATATTGACTCAAGGAACCCAGATTAGCACGGGGGGTCCCAGTGGTGCCACCAAAAAACATCACTTCTGTCTTATTTTCATATAAGAGCCATCCAGGCCTTCATGTCATCAAGACACTAAAGTAATGGACCAACAGTTTCATTCTTTTTAAGAGGCACATAGATCTGACTAATGTCTGCATAATTTTTGGCACATGCATTTTGATTATTTTTATTCAATTCAATTTCAATTCAAATTTATTTGTTTAGCGCTTTTTACAATACATATTGTTTCAAAGCAGCTTTACAGAAAGTGCATTTCAGAAAATACAGTTAGTTAATCATCATGTATTAATTTAGGGCATAACATATCGCCGGCGTTGAGTCGTCTCTTCACAGGCGTCGAGTCGTCTCATCGCAGGTGTTGGGGCATCTGAAGTCTCCGTGAGAGGCTGGATACAAACTGGAGCTGACGAACGCTATTTACCTCGGGACTAGCGTCTCGAGATAACAGCAGAAAAGCAGATGGGAAATAATTAGCGTAGCTGCTGTTCATAATATTAATGCATTCGATCTGATTCAACAGTGGTATAAAAGGTAAGCATTATGTGAATGCTTGGCTGAAGAGATGCGTCTTTAATCTAGTTTTGAACTGGGAGAGCGAGTCTGAGCAACGAACAGTATCAGGAAGGCTATTACAGAGTTTAGGAGCTAAATGCGAGAACGCCCTCCCTCCTTTAGTGGACTTAGATATCCTAGGAATGACCAGAAACCTCGAATTTAGTGATCTTAAAGAACGCGATGGATTTTAGGGCGATAGAAGATCCATTAAATACTCAGGAGCTAAACCATTAAGGGTTTTATAGGTCAGTAGTAGTACTTTGTAATTGATACGGAACTTAATAGGTAACCAGTGCAGAGATGATAAAATCGGTGTTATATGATCATATTTTCTTGACCTAGTAAGAACTCTAGCGGCTGCATTTTGCACTAACTGTAGCTTGTTTATTGAGGATGCAGGACAACCAGCTAATAAAGCATTACTGTAATCTAGTCTCGAGGTCATGAATGCATGAACTAACTTTTCTGCATCAGAAACAGATAGCATGTTACGTAGCTTAGCAATGTTTCTGAAAAAGGCAGTTCTTGTAACATGAAATATGATTTTCGAAAGACAAGTTGCGGTCTAGTATAACACCCAGGTCTTTTACTGTAGTGGATAAAGTAACAGGACATCCTTCTAAATTAAAGTTGTATTGTAAGAGAATTTGTGGGTAGTTTTTTGGACCAATAAGTAATACCTCCGTTTAATCTGGATTTAATAGCAGGAAATTACACGCCATCCAGCATTTTATATCTTTAAAACACTGTCAATTTAGATAAGTTAGTGTTTTCATCTGGTCGTGATGAAATATATAATTGAGTGTCATCAGCATAGCAGTGGAAATTAATTCCATGTTTTCTTATAATATTACCAAGTGGCAGCATATATATTGAGAATAGCAGAGGGCCTAACACCGATCCTTGCGGCACTCCATAGTCTACTGATGTTATCTTCGATTTTTCCCCATTTAAACAGACAAAATGGTAACAATCTGATAAGTACGATCTAAACCAGCTTAATGCCTGTCCCTGAACACCAGTGTAGTTTTGTAGTCGATCCAAGAGTATTTTATGATCGATAGTGTCAAACGCAGCACTAAGATCGAGTAGAACTAGTATTGAGATACAGCCTTGGTATGAAAGTATTGTTGATATGAAAGTATTGTTGTCCAATTACTTGTTTGCACTATTTAGCCATTATTTTATTTCTTTGAATACAAGTGGTAACAGTCAGATAAATAGGACTTTAAATATACAGATGTTTGTCCACAAATGCAAACATATTTCTCAAGTTATCCAAGAGAAGGTTGTTGTCTATGTTGCACAAGATCTAATGAGAATAGAAACTGAAAACAAAACGGTTACTCTGCAAAACTGAACATGGATGAAAGGATGCTATTTTAGGCCAATTTGAAAGTTTTTTGTTTTGTTGGTTTAGATGCTAGAAAATGTCTAACTTTTTCATGTCTGTTGCTTTGTGTCATTAAACTGGGTTTAACTTGTATTTGTCACTTTTCACCATAGACCCGATGGCGCTGAAAGCAGAGAGTCAAGAACTGAATGAAATACGAAACCAGTACGACAATCATCATGATTTTGCAACTGGAGAAAAATCTTTAAATTCCTCAAAGACTGAAAAGACAACAACTACAAGTAATTTCACTTACCAACAGTGTGGAAAGAGCTTCATTCAAAAAGAAAGCCTTAAACGCCACATGGGAACTCACACTGGAGAGCAGCCTTTCACCTGCCTTCAATGTGGAAAGAGTTTCGCTAAAAAATTAGGCCTTATAGCCCACATGAGAAGCCACATGAGAACTCACACTGAAGAGCAGCCTATCATCTGCCTTCAATGTGGAAAGATTTTTGCTAAAAAAGGAGCCCTTATAGCCCACATGAGAACTCACACTGGAGAGAAGCCTTACACCTGCCCTCAGTGTGGAAAGGGTTTCGCTCAAAAAGGAGGAGGCCTTATAGCCCACATGAGAGTTCACACTGGAGAGAAGCCTTACACCTGCCCTCAGTGTGGAAAGAGTTTCACTCAAAAAGGAGGCCTTAAATCCCACATGGGAATTCACACTGGAAAGAAGCCTTTCAGTTGCCGTCAATGTGAACAGAGTTTTTTACGTAAGACAGCCCTTAATGCACACATGCAAACTCACACTGATGATTACCCCTGCCAACTGTGTGGAATAAGTTTCATTCAAAAAGGAAGCCTTAAACGCCACATGAAAATTCACACTAAAGAGAAGCCTAACACCTGCCAACAGTGTAGAAAGTTTTTCACCCAAAAAAGAAGCATTAAACTCCACATGAGCATTCAAACTGGAGAGAAGCCTTACACTTGTCCTCAATGTGGAAATAGTTTTTCGCGTAAGGCAACCCTTAATGCACACATGCAAACTCACACTGAAGGGAAGGCTTACACCTGCAAACTGTGTGGAATGCATTTCAGCTAAAAAGGAAACCTTAAAGTTCACATGAGAACTCACACCGGAGGAAGCCGTTCCAGTGTTGTAATGTAACGGAGTACAAATACTTCGTTACTGCACTACTGAATTGGCCATTATAGCAGGTTTAACCTATGGGTTTAACGACTGAAGCGACAACTCGCCAGGTTACTATAGTGTGGCCGGCTACGCAATACTCGTTCCCTCTCTCAGGGAACTGAGGTTACGATAGTAACCGAGTAGTTCCCTTTCAAACGGCCACAATAAAGTTCACAATCAAAGTTCTAACCGCTTGCTTTAAAAAAACAACAACATTTTTTACTTTTAATTCAAATAATTTAGTACATTAAATATCAGAAAATCACTTTTGATACTTAAGTACAGTATATATCAGATACTTTAAGACTTTTACTTAAGTTATATTCTAAAAGGTAACTTTCACTTCTCCCAAAGTCTTTTTCTAGGACGATACTTTACTCAAGTATTGCTTTCTAGTACTTTATACAACACTGAGCAGTGTAAGAAGATTTTTACAATTCAAAGAGACCTAGAACATCCTTTGAAAACTCATTCTGGAAAGAAATTGTAGTGTTGTTCAGTGTGGCAAGAGGTTACAAAATAGAGCAGTTTCAAATTACACATTCACTCTGGAGGAAAACCATTTAATTTGATCAGTGTAATAAAAAATATTTTGTTATCACACTTACAGCAGGTCGTGCAGATGTGAGACCCTGTGTGTTTGTGTGGAATGCATTTTAAACGGCTTGATAAATTAAAATGGCACCAGAAAATATGCATCTTTGTGAAAGTAGTTTTAATCAACATATTAAAGTAACTTCCATCTTATTATTAAATTGGACAACATCATAACAAACATTCATACCCTACAGAGCAAAATTCTCAGTTAAAAAATACTGCTCAGTGTACGTGTCCCACACTAAGAGAGTGTTAAAATAACACTGAACCAGTGTTTAAGATAATGCAACATGACATCATGACTTTGCGTAAACATACACGCCACTTTCAATTCAAGTGGCGTGTTATCTATACGCATTTTGAGCTATCCGCGTGTATGTCCACGCCGAAATCTTTTGCGTGTATGTCTACGCCATTAAACGTCCGAGTGATTCCGCGTGTATGTGTACGCCGTTAAATGTCCGAGCGAAACGAAGCAAAATCTATATTCTACATCTGTGGAGCGATATTTCTTTTCCTAGGATGGTAGGAGAAGACTCATAAATGGTATTAACCCCAGTGACGGGTAGGTTTAGGGACGGGGTTGGGGTAGGTCATATATTTATATGTACATAATACAGTAATATAACGTTAAGTCAAAGGCGTTGATAAACACGCTGAAAAGCGATTATGCGTGTTGATAGCACGCCAAAAATGGAAATACGAATTGGCGTGTCATACATACGCCATTTCATGAGATCAGTCTGGATAATGAGATGTTTGATTAATCGAGTCATGAGTGAGCATTAGTGATGAACACCTGCTGTTAACAAGCAGAATCACTGAAGGAAAGAGGAACAAGAACAGAAAAAGAGAAGAGATGGAAACAATAACAGATAAAAAGCTACACAGCCTTAGATGAAATCAACTGCAAATAAAATAACACATTACATCTCTCGAGATCTCAGTAGAGAATGATTAAACAACTCCAAAAACAGCATTACCAGCTTCACTGATTACAAACCATTTTAACGTTATTTCTTTATTAGGAAAAGGAGAACATCTTCTGCATAAAGCAGGGCTGCCAACTCTTACGCATTCAGCGCAATTGACACTTTTCACACGCTCAAAATCGGAGTAAAGAGAACACTGACAGACTAGACAGAGCAGGTTACTTTTGATACGAAAGAAAAATCTCAGCTCTCAGGTTATGTCCATTTTATTACGAAATTCAGACAATAAATACCGTTTTGCCACTTGTAAATGTGACGTGACAGATTGTTGGCGCCTCAGTCTAAGTAAACCGATCATGTGTTACTTTTTATTTAAAGATACAGTACAATTTACCGAAAGGTATATGCCTCATACATAATATCAATCAATCAGTGTTTTTCAACCACGGAAAGTGGTCAATAAAACAGCAGGAGAACAATTAAGGCACAGAAGTGTAAGCTGGAGAAACTGGAAGAACTGGTTGAGGAACGACCACTCCTCGAGAAGACAAAGGACCTTTCTGGAAATTAACATTTGATCTCTCTTGCCCGTCCCCATTCGAGACACGATCACACTTGAGTTGACAACCTCCCAATTTACACATCATTCCCTTCACCCATCCCTACCTGAGTTCACCCAAAAATCTATATGGTTTAATATGAACAATTATCATACAGTATTTTACATGTTTGGTATCATTTGAAATGTCTCAGTGCGACTGGTACAAAGGTCTCATTCCCAATGAATTAAGGTTTTTAAGAGTTTATAGATAACTGTCACACAGAGGAGGGTGGGTCTTTAGACAAATGGTCTCCTACTCCCAAAAGATGTCAACTCTGAATGTAAATTCCCATTGTTAGCAGATGTTTCCATGTGAAAAAGGTTTCTGTCTGTATAATGAAATGCAACTAGAGGATCAGGGCGATTCTGTACCTCAGATCAGCCCATGATGTTGAAGGATCTCAAAACTTAGTCATCATGTATTTCTTCATGTTGGGTTGGCATCTCTTCTCTTTATTCCAGAGCATTTGATGTTTTGTATCCGTTATCTTTGAATTGATTATGTAATTGGCATAATACATTTACCTGACATAATAAATTGTAAACATTTGATTGTATTCTATCGGACTCATTATTTGCAGTAAAGAGTTAAAAGGAATAGTCAAACATTCATTTAATGATGCACAGATATCATTAAACCCTTTCATTTATGGAGTCAGATGAAATAACGAGAACATACATATATGAAAATGTATTTAATTTAATCAAAAAACTTTGCCACGAGAAAAGACAGTAACACGCAGAGACCTTCCCCACTGGTCGGATGCCTCCATTGGGCCGATTGAGCGTGGGCTTACAGAACGTTACATTTACCTCAGGAAAGCCATTTAATGACCAGCACGTTAGTTGACTAGAAACAATATCTATAGAGAGTAGTATTTTGCTAAATATGTGCACTATATTACATTTTTATTTTATTTTTTACTTGTGTTATTAAATAATTGTTATTATAATGAAAACCGCATTATATTTAATTTAATTTGTTATTTCTAACCTTTAACAATATCAGCTGATAGGGCTCTGTATGTTTACAGCATTATGTGAGATATATCTTTTCTTGAGAAAAATGAACATGTAGGTTATCTACTGTAGCCTACCTAATATTTATCCAAATAAGTCAATATTGAAGCAAGATTAAAATCAAATCCCAGGAACTGAATTGAAATTGTGAAAATTGTGTTAAGCAATAATACAAACAGAAGCCTTCCAGTCATTGTACCATAAACGTTGTAACATGTTGTCACTAAACTTCATAAAATTATGTTTAGTTACCAAATGTTTTGGCAATCACAATTACATATATTGTGATGCAAGTTGTTTCTTTGCACTATTACACTATTTCAAACTTAAAACCTTCAAACCTCACTTATAAAAAAAACGTCTGACTTAAAACTAGTGAGTCTACTTCATACTTCGTTTTTACTAACTCCCATTTCCTTCAAAGTGAAGTCAAAATGTCACACCATGTCATCCCTGTGATTCCCATTTGTCCAGTCATCTGGTTTTAAGAGCAAGCATACCATCTGCTTTTACAGAAAGGTACTTGCACTCTAGGACACTGTCTACATCAGACCACTTGATTTCAAAGTCAGACGGTGCCAGATCTTTCTGTTGCTCTGCCCCCTTGTTTTTTTCTCTAGTGCCTCAGAATTGGAGAGTGTAGCAGTCATGGTGACAGTGGCAATGAATCCAAAATCCATCAGCTGAAAGAATGGAGAAAGAAACCTTGGGAGAAACAAGGTTCAGTCGGGGGGCCACTTCTCTTCTGGCCATCGAACAAACAGTGTCATTATTGTATAGTTGACAGGACGTCTATTTAATTTACTTAAAATGTTACATTTAATTTACAGACTGGAAAACTTTTTGTGCTATTTTCTAACAGTTAAGACTGTAATAAGGAGAGAAAACCTGCCCAACCTTTTCACAGGCATTTTGTTTTCATAGTTAGATGGATATCGTAGATCATGATGTATCATCAGAGGATTGTCTAGCAATATATCGATTATCTTAGAATTGCTGAATCGTGATATTATCGGTATCGTATCCTATCGTGAGGTACCCTGTGATTCACACCCCTAATGACAATACAACCCTTAATCCATATCGTCTAGTCCAGTGGGAAATATACCAACAAACTAACACAAGAAAGAAATTCATTTTGACGACAATTTCAAATATCATGAGCGGACGCCGCTGTTTTTCAACGGTGTATCCATTTAATTCAAAGAGTGTCAGTACAGAACCTTTAACAAACCACCTTCAACCAGCGAGGATTGTTGGCTCTATGAGCTGATCAGTGGTGAAGTGTCTGCTACAGAGCTTAACGTGTGAGGAGATGGCGAACTGATCCCGGCGTATGTTTACAAGCCGTTGTCTTCTCAGGTCGGCATGAGTCGGAAAGCTGTGAAGACTAAGTACTCCATTAAATTTGGATGACGCTAAACAAAGTGGCACACAACAGTGCTCTTGAGTATTTCTTCTCCTGTTTCTGAAAATGTTCCGTCTTAAACACTTTCCTCCTTACACTCATGATGAAAGCTTATACATTAATGCTAACAAGCTAGACAAGTGGTTTTCAACCCTTTTTGAACAAATGCCCCCCTGACCTATTCATGATCCTCTTAACACCTCCACCTTCTCAAAAAAAAAAAAAAAACACTTCAAAAATACTATTACAGCCAAACAATTGCAACACTGATACACAAAAGATTTTTTAAAGATTAACCAATCACGTGAACAATAACGTAACCTAAATGGCCAATGAAAAAGCAGCGGCCGTTCACGCACTCAATTAAGCTATATATATATATATATATATATATATATACTGTGCCTTGCGAAAGTATTCAGCCCCCTTGAACTTTTCGACCTTTTGCCACATTTCAGGCTTCAAACATAAAGATATAAAACTGTAATTTTTTGTGAAGAATCAACAACAGGTGGGACACAATCATGAAGTGGAACGAAATTTATTGGATATTTCAAACTTTTTTAACAAATAAAAAACTGAAAAATTGGGCGAGCAAAATTATTCAGCCCCTTTACTTTCAGTGCAGCATCTCTGAATG